CTCTGCTACCTGACAGGTTTTTTTCAGCTATTTTACCATTGCACTTTTTGAGTTCAGGTCCATTTTAATAATAATTCACTATTGTTTCCTACAAAAGATGATGCGTTCATTTCTAGCATACATTTTGGGTTGATTTTCTAAAGGGATAAAGACTTTTCACTTAGCAAATTGAAAGTTTATTTAGATTGGGAAGAAAGGTGAAGCTATGTTCATGTTCAAGGTACATTTAAAAGGCAGCGTTATATTGGATCACACCCCGGTCACATGAAGCCCGACTTTGAAATCATGAGAATTCACTGTAAGATTTCAAAATCAGGGGGACATGCCGATTTTAGGTGCGATTTGCAAGACATCTGACACTGACGTCTATGCAATTCGCACCAAAAGTACTACTATAGAAATTGGTGCGGCTCCAACGAAGTTGAAACCGCACCATTATGACCGTTCTAACTGCAGACAATAGGGTATGACTTGGCATCCCATACTTGGGATTCGCATCCAGTGTGACCGGGGACGTATTAATTACAGCTTTTCCTTATTACTAAGCTAAAGAAAACAATGACTTTAAAAAGAGAACTGCCTCTAGGCCTTTTGGAAATACTTCATCAATTACACATTCAAAGCTCTGCACATAATTGCCTGCAGTCTTCATCTATATGCTTTCCACCTGCCACAAATTCACAAATTAAAACTAATAGGTATCTGCCAGGCAAATTAAAAAAAAATAACCAATGTCTACAGTCACATGAAAATGAAGGAAAATCAGACATAAATTTGCCCAATTTAAAAATGACCCCATATCAGTGGTCTCCAAACTGCGACAGGATGTGGCCCTTTGCTTTCCTCTATCCGACCCTTGAGGCACTTTTCCTCAGAATGATACAAGACACTATTCCTCCAATTGACACCAACAATGGGGTCCATTTTTAGGATTTTGCATAGAATGTGTCAAATTTGGCTTGTTGTTACTTCACTTTTTTGTACCAATACAAACAAAGGAAATAAACACGAGAATGCAGAAACATTTGTAATTGCATCAGTTTTCTGGGCAAAGTGGTGCATTATCTGACAGAAATGCATGGGTGTCAATATTTTTGGCTATGAGTGTATATACTATTACACCCCGGTCACATTGAGTGCGACTTGGCATTCCATTTGCATGCCATGCGACTTGGAAATTGGATGCCAAGTCGCACCCAATCAGAGCGGTCAAATCGGTGTGGTTCCGACTTGGTCGGAACTGCCCCGATTTCAAAAGTGGTACATGTACTACTTTTGGTGCGATTTGCATGGACATCTGTGTCAGATGTCTTGCCAATCACACCTGAAATCGGTATCTCACCCGACTTTGAAATCGTGGGACTTACAGTGATATCAAAGTCAGGCTTGATGTGACAGGGGGGTTAAGGGCTCATCTATACTATACATTGAGTTATCATTCTTGTGTGTTAAGGTGTACTGCATTAAGACAGCTTTTTCAATGGTCTGGCAGTGTACCTTAATGAACTAAAAACCACAACTGCCCCTTTTTTCAAGGAATTGCACCACAGTGATGGATGGTTTACATCTATTCTTGCGGTGTGCCAACAGGTGCATTGAAGCTTGCGGTATATATACTGTATATCGTGAAGTCACACTATGTTGATAAATTTCACCAAAAGCAGAATCAAAAAATGATTGTAGAATTCAGCTGCAAGACAGTGACACAACTGATAGGGTGAAACTAAAAAGATGCATATATAGGCATACCTCGGTTTACGAACGCCTCGGTTAACGTAAATTTCGTTTTATGAATGAAAATCCATTGAAAATAATAGCTCAGTTTGCAAATTTTTTTCGCAATACGGACGGATTCATTGGTTTTCAAAGCATTTACAAATTTTTTTTTAATCATGTCTCTGTACAGTACTATGCCTTTAAAGTGCACTTTTTAAAGAGTTTTGAACAGATAAGACTTTTTTTTACTTTTTTCTGACCTCCGGAATGAATTAATTGATTTTCAGTGCATTTATGAATTCATTTTTTATCATGTCCCTGTACGGTATTTATGCCTTTAAAGTGCACTTCATAAGGAGTTTTGAACAGATAAAAGACTTTTTTTTACTTTTTTCTGACCTCTGGAACGGATTCATTGGTTTTCAATGCATTCCTATGGGAAATCACGTTTCTGTTTACAAATGTTTTGCAATAAGAAAAGTCCCGCGGAACTAATTAAATTCGTAAACTGAGGTACGCCTGTGCTATTATGGAAGAACATCGTCAATGAAGTATAGACAAAATATAAGAAACTAGCTTGTGGCTCAGCCCTCAACTATCCTCAAAAAACTGAAATATCAAATATGGTTGCAGTTGATATTGAACTATATGCTTGTTTACAATCTACATTAAGATAAATGCTTTAATGTCTTCTATAACTTCCATTAATTAAAACTTTCTGAGCTCTGTATCTATTGATTCTTAGAACAGGTAGGGTGTATTTTTCAGAAAAGGTTGGATAATTGCAGCTCGTAAAGTATTTGCTTTTGAAAACAAGTTGGAAATTATAGTATATAACACAACTGTTTGGCACCCGTGTATAAAGGGCATATGTTGTTCTGAAAGTGTTAGGTCCTTTACATAATGCCAGGTTGGGAAATCATAGCTCAGGAAATGGTAAGGTATGCAGTGTTTATTATGCAGGCTGCTGAATACACCCATTCCAGGTGTGCAAGATGTACTTCAACTGCTTTTTTTAAAGCATAACTCTGTTTAAAAAAGACAATTTTTACCCCCACATTCACCTACCCGATTTGCGTGGCATCTATACTTGGCACCATTGACAGCTGATGTGATTTATATTGGTGCACAAGTTAGGTGCACTAATAAATGTCAGTTTTTATTCGGCATTTTAATAAAACATTATATATATGGGATTCTTTTATGTTTCTTTCTGAATATTATACTTGGATATCAGCACCTTAGCGAGTCTCAGAGGTGATTTAACCCTCAAAGGGGAACAAGCTTTTTGACCTTATCTAATATAGGAGGTCCAACAGAGAAGGGGAGGACTCACATTGGGGAATATCTTAGACTGTGGGTGATCTGTGAAGACAGAGGTGTGATCCCATACACTCTATTGACCAAAGTATTGGTGCACCTGCCTTTACGCGCACATGAACTTTAATGGCATCCCAGTCTTAGTCCGTAGGATTCAATATAAAGTTGGCCCACCCTTTGCAGCTATAACAGCTTAAACTCTTCTGGGAAGGCTGTCCACAAGGTTTAGGAGTGTGTCTATGGGAATGTTTGTCTATTCTTCCAGAATTACAAAGTGCAATAGTGCTTTCCGGGTATGTAGTTCACAGTTTCACTCAGTATTTAAACAATTCATTAATGTATCTTCAGTTCCTCAACGCTGCACCCCAGTGATTTCCTTCATATACACTATATTGCTGAAAGTATTGGGACACCCCTCTGAGTCATTGGATTCAGTAGTTCCAATCGCCTCCATGGCCACAGGTGTATAAAATCAAGCACCTAGGCATGCAGACTGCTTCTACAAACATTTGTGAAAGAATGGGACTCTCTCAGAAGCTCAATGACTTCAAGTGTGGTATCGTGATAGGTTGCCACCTGTGCAATAAGTCCATCTATGAAATTTCCTTCCTACTAAATATTCCAAGTCCAACTGTTAGTGGTATTATAGCAAAGTGGAAGCAACTGGGAACAACAGCAACTCAACCATGAAGTGGTAGACCACGTAAAATGACAGAGCGGGGGTCAGCGAATGCTGAAGCGCACAGTGCACAGAAGTCACCAACTGTCTGCAAAGTCAATAGCTAAAGTCCTCCAAACTTCGTGTGGCCTTCAGATTAGCACAACATCAGTACATAGAGAGAGCTTCCTGGAATGGCTTTCCATGGCCGAGCAGCTGCATTCAAACCTTACATCACCAAATGCAATGCAAAGAGTCGGATGCAGTGGTGTAAAGTACGCTGCCACTGGACTCTAGAGCAGTGGAGACATGTTCTCTGGAGTGAAGAATCACGCTTCTTTGTCTGGCAATCCAATGGACATGTCTGGGTTTGGTGGCTACTAGGAGAATGGTACTTGTCTGACTGCATTGTTCCAAGTGTAAAGTTTGGTGGAGGGGGATTATGGTGTGGGGTTGTTTATGGTTGGGCTTGGCCCCTTAATTCCAGTGTAGGGAACTCTTAAGGCATCAGCATACCAAGACATTTCACAATTTCATGCTTCCAACTTTGTGGAAACAGTTTGGGGATGGTACCTTCCTGTTCCAACATGACTGTGCAGCAGTGCACGAAGCAAGGTCCATAAAGACATGGATGAGCAAGTTTGGGGTGGAGGAACTTAAGTGGCCTGCACAGAGCCCTGACCTCGACCCAATTGAACACCTCTGGGATGAATTAGAGTGCAGACTGCGAGCCAGGCCTTGTCTTCTGACATTAGTGCTGACCTCACAAATGCGCTTCTGGAAGAATGGTCAAACATTCCCATAGACACACTCCTAAACCTTGTGGACAGCCTTCCCAGAAGAGTTGAATGTGTTATAGCTGCAAAGTACGGGCCAACTCAATATTAAACCCTACAGACTGGGGTCTGGGAAAACTGGGATGCCATTAAAGTGTTACTAAACCCAGGACCCTGCATTTACTATATCTGGTCTCCCACAGTACACAGAACATGGAAATGCAACTATTTTAGTAAAAATAAACAGCTAAATAGCTTTTCTACTCAGCAGTTAGAGCAGTATTGTGGCTTCTATCTGTGTCCAGCCCAGCACTAGCTAAAGCTTGTAGGAATATGAGTTTTCTTTCTGCTCTAGGAGGATGGAAATCCCCTGACCTCTGTCTGGATAGTGCCGATTGGCCTTGTGCTGATCACATGCACTCTCCCAAGAAAAAAAAAACTCTCTAGCAATATACACTAAACTGAGCATGTGCATGCCTATGGTTCAGTCTGGAGATAAGTGGTGGTCACTTGAAAAAGGGGAGGAACAGAGAAGAAAGGATCAAACAGCTTTTTTACACAATGCAGAGGAGTAAACCCTTAGCTTCCACAGTGAGTATAACAAGCATGCTTTACTGCATATACAGACTGATTTTACTGTCGTGGGTTTAGTAACACTTTAAATTTAATTTGCGTGTAAAGGCAGGCATCCCAATCCAATATAGTGTATATGTGTGTGTGATTTAGGGAGGCAGTTATAGCGCCACACTCATTTGGGTTACAATATTTTTTAAAAGGCCTATAAAGCCAAAAAAAATTTAACTAAATCTGGTGTTATGTGACACCCCCCCCCTTTTTTTTCCCATGGTGCATTAGTGCATTTTCTAGTAGCAGCAACCAGCAATCAAGATTTAGCTGATATTCCTTGGGTCCACCTTTTGTTGTGACATCACACATGAGTGCTTTAGAACTTTGTGGGGACTGAAGTGAGGACCCAGTGATGGACTCTCCTGACAGCCAATGGGCAGCTCCTATGACACCAGTAAGTGACATCACCTAGGACCAGCAGAGACTTTCCCACACTTCAGACCAGAATAAAGAAGACCTGGGACCTGGCCTATCACCTGAACATAATTTTAGGGGAATAATTAGAGTCTTTTGGTAGCTGTTATTCAAAGAAATATATAAATTATGTAAGGCGGCGAAGGGAGGGTTTTTTTTCCTCCCTCTAGGTGAGCTGTAAAGCTATTTAGTATAACTTAAACAGTAATTACTAAAAATGTTTTCTAAAATCCTTTTGTATCCCATAATCCCCTAAATACAAGCTGAAATGTAAAATTATCTTCATAACGGAAGAGGCCACACTTGTTGTTGAAATAAAGAGAAAGCAGAAGACTGAAGCTACTTCTCCATCCCAAATATATGTAATGCTAGCGTTGACTAAAGCTCATAAACCAGGAGCAGCCAGAGATGATGAAATGTGTCAGCGCTGATGACAGGTGAAGATAAATCTGATTATTCTCATATGAATGGTATGCCATTCAGACAGATCCAGACAACTTTCATTACCAACTCAGCTGACTAACAGATGAGGAGCAGGCACAATAACTTGCCTTGTTCCATTTCCGCAGAGAAATAGGAATGAATGGCAGGATTTACATGGGTGGCTGGAGACTGTTCAAGTTCTGCCTTTCCCCGAGGTATACACTTTGCTTTGTGTTTTTTTTTCTTGATCACAGTGGAATGGGAAAAATAATTCTCATTGTGCTTGTAGGTGGAAGCAGAAGGGAACACAACTATCAGAGCTCAAACAACCCAAAAAGGTGGGCCTAAAAGTAGAGACAGGGCTATATTTTTGCAAAGCAACATAGGCCTTGGCCTTATTTGACCTTTATGCTAAAGCTATGTTGCAGTATAGTGAACGATTTACTAAAAAGGTTGAGAACAGGGATGAGTGGACGATTCGATACAAACCTAGGTTTGGACCGAACTTTGGTTGTTGAACGTGTGAACTTTTATCTGTCAGACATTCTATATGTAGCCCTACAGAACAGACAGTGCACAGTCCACATGTGTTTATCTGTTGCTTCTCTGCAAACAGGAAAGAAGACATAGGGTATAGACAGGAAAGAAGACATAGAGTATAGACAGGAAAGAAGACATAGAGTATAGACAGGAAAGAAGACATAGAGTATAGACAGGAAAGAAGACATAGAGTATAGACAGGAAAGAAGACATAGAGTATAGACAGGAAAGAAGACATAGAGTATAGAGTATTGTCATAGAGGTTGAATATTTCTTTTCCTTTTCTTTATCTTTTTTTTCTTTTTTTGTTCTTTGTGGGTATAATTTATTTATGCGTATTCATATCATATCTAGATGGATATTTGACCTGTATTATGTCCTCTACAATTGCACAGAAGCATGGGCCAATTTGATTTTTAATTGTTTACTTTGATACACCCCAATAGCTCAGTGAGCTTAACATCTAGGGTGAGCTGGCGAATTCTTTGCAGTTTTGAACAGTATATTAAATGCATTAAAATGTTTTACCTATGTTGTAATTTTATTCTGATGTATATCTTTTCAATATATTATAGACTGTACTGCGGTTGAAACTTCTTTCCCTGAGGAAGCCCTTGTTGGGCGAAACATGTAGGGAAAATATAGTCCTCCAAACTGCAGTAAAACAGTCAAGCTCTTATCATTGTTTCTACAGTATTGTATCAATTCACTTTTTTAGACAGTGACTAATAAAAGTTGTTAAAATCTTTTTAATATGTTTTTTTTTTAGTTGTATTTTTGCACCTTGAAAATCCCACATTCTTCAACTCTATATTTTCAATTCATAGGGATGCGGTGCTATTTGTATACCTTGTCACCCACTCGCCACTTTCTCTTATCTATTTTCAAACTTATAAACATTTCCATCTGCTGGCTAAAGAATATATATCTACTGCATACTGATGTTGATGTACAGTAGTTGTTGCACAAAATAAATGAACATTGTATTCCAACATTACCCTATTCGTACTCATGTTTGGCAGTAGCTGGAAAATATATAGATGCACTAAATCAATGACTTGCATGCTCCATACCCCTGACGATGCTGATTGGTGGCGAAACATGTTGGACGAGGTCTAGCCGGTGACGTTACACACAGGCACAGGCCTGTGACATTGGGATTTCTGTGTCTGTCTGATATGCGCACTGATATCTTATCTTCTGCTCTTTGTGAGTATATATCTGCTTTTAATAAATATTAGTTTTTATGATATAGCACCATTGTGGCTCACTTGATCTTCTCTTTGGAGGGATATAATATCTCTGCAATTGAAAGGGTTTCTCCTCTTGTCGGTGACAGCGTGGAAATGAGGCGAAGAGTGGTTGATGCCAGTGGGAATAGTACCGATTCAGAGCACACAAATGTGTATTGATCTCCTTTTCATTGAGATCAATACATTTGGTAAGAGGTTGATCATTTATCTGGTAGTGGAATCACAATTGCTCATGATTATTCATCTTTTTCACTGATTACTACTTTGAATCTGTGTTGGACTGAGCACTTTATGTCTGAAATAACTTCATTGGACTACATTATTCACAATTATTTTGGACTTTGTTACATAAATAAGGCTCTTGATTGCTGCATGATTTGTCATCATTTATTAATTTAAGGTTTATTAAATTGAGAAGTGCACCAAGTCAAGAGAAATAATATTTTTAAAGTTTAGTATTCAAACTTTTTTCTGGTTGCAGCACCCACATTTCTACACAGATTCTCACTAAGCACAAATATATTTTTATACATAGCATGTGCAATCCCCGCTGTTATTTTGGCTACTGGCCAAAGCAACTAGGCTAAATACACAATAAACTATGCTTTCATCCCAATCTGTGTCTTCTACTCACTGCTGTGCTAGGGGAGAGGTTTATGGGAAGGCTGGGTGAGTATTTAAACTAGAATCGAGGGGGGTGGAAGAATTAGATTATAACGGGGTAAACAGTTCAGACAGGGGTCAGTACTTATTGGTGGGTGGAATGGGGAAAGATGGGGGGAAGGCTATGGCAGATAAGAAGGTTCACATGTTACAAACAACCAGTGGAATTGGTACCATTTGTATGATAATAAAAAAAAAAATTTTAAAATACGTGTGAACAAGCTGTCAATAATTTAAAGTGTTTGTTCCCCAATGCCAGAAGTCTGCCAAGAAAAATAGGTGAGTTGGAAGCTTTGGTGCATGAAGAGAACTATGATTTAATTGGTATTGCTGAATCTTGGCTTCATTCTTCACATGACTGGGCCATTAATATTCCTGACTATGTACTCTTTTGGAGAGACAGGGTAATTAGGAGAGGTGGTGGTGTCTGTCTCTATGTGAGAAGTGATCTCAGAGCGAGTGTGAAAGAGGACCAAGTTGATGGAGAGTGTGATGAGGCTGAAGTATTATGGGTGGAACTGCACATGGGGGTGCATACTACAAAGGAAATCATTGGCGTTTGTTATAGGCCTCCCAGTGTTAATGAGGAAGTGGAGACTCAGCTCCTTACACAGGATTGAAAGGGCTGCAAGGGCTGGGACAGTGATAATAATGGGGGAATTTAACTACCTGGAAATTGACTGGAGTAATGGTTCAGCAGGAACAGTTAAAGGGCAAACATTTTTAAACTTACTACAGGACGATTTTATGGTACAGTTCATAGAGACCCCTACTAGGAATGATGCTCTGCTGGACCTGGTAATCTCAAACTATGCAGAGCTTATTACGAATGTCCATATAAAAGAACATCTGGGTAGCAGTTACCATAACATGATTTCATTTATTGTTAGCTGTAAACAGCGAGCACATATGGGAAAAAAAAAATAAAAACGCTCAATTTTAAGAGAGCTAATTTTCCAAGGCTGAGAGCTGCTCTCTAAGACTAAAACTAGGAGGGAATATTGGCATCAATGAACACAACACAGAAATGGGAGTTCTTCAAAAAGACTGTATGTGAACACACTGCAAAATATATTCCCATGGGCAACAAGTTTAAAAGGCTTAAAATCAAACCTAGGTGGCTTACGGCCAAAGTTAAAAAAGCTATGGACAATAAGAAAAGAGCTTTAATTAAATATAAAAATGAACTAATGCTATCATCTTTTAAACATTACAAAGAATATAACAGAATATGCAAAAAGGAAATAAAGGAACGACAGTTTGCAAAAGATAGCAAGACCAACCCCCAAAAATTCTTCAAATATATTAATAGTAAAAAGGTCCGGTCCGAGCATGTAAGTCCTTTACAAAATAATCTAGAGTGGGTGACTGGGGACAAAGAGAAGGCAAATTAAATACCTTTTTCAGCTCTGTGTATACAAAGGAGCATGAGGGAGCTCTTGTCCATAATGTGCATGGTATTGACACATATCCAGATGATCTACATTGGCTCACAATTGGTATGATCCAAAAATATTTAGCTGAATATAGCACCTGGACCGGAAGGCATACACTCACGGGTCCTTAAAGAATTGAGCTCTGTCATTTCAAAGCCATTGTTTCTAAGTTTTAGGACTCTTTAATGATTGGCATAGTACCACTGGATTGGAGTAAGGTCAATGTGGTGCCAATATTTAAAAATGGGTCAAAATCTTTACCAAGTAATTATAGACCTGTTAGTTTAACTTCTATAGTTTGGAAGATACTGGAGAGTTTAATAAAAAACCCAAATAGATGAGTTCTTGCTGGAAAAAAATATTTTAAGCAACAGACAGCATGGATTCATGAAAGACAGGAGTTGTCAAACAAATCTGATTTCTTTTTTATGAGGAGGTGAGCAAAACCTTGGACAGAGGGGTGGCGGTGGACGTGGTGTACTTGGATTTTGCAAAAGCATTTGACACAGTTCCCCACACACGGCTAATGTGTAAGGTAAAGTCTACAGGCTTGGAAATATTTGTATATAAATGGATAGAAAACTGGCTAAAAGATCATATTCAAAGAGTAGTGGTTAATGATTCATACTCTGAATGGTCTAGGGTTGTCAGTGGTGTACCCCAAGGTTCAGTGTTGGGAACCTTACTTTTTAATATATATTTATACACAATATAGGGTCTGGGATTAAAAATACCATTTCAGTCTTTGCAGATGACACCAAGCTGTGCAGTGGAAAAACGTCCTTACAGGATGTCTCCAATTTACAAGCTGACCTCAATGCACTGTTTAATTGGGCAACTATGTGGCAAATGAGGTTTAATGTTGATAAATGTAAGGTTATGCGCTTGGGGGCTAAGAATATGCATGCATCATACATACTAGGGGGGGGGGTACAACTGGGGGAGTCAATGGTGGAGAAGGATCTGGGAGTTCTGGTAGATCACAAGCTTAATAATGGCATGCAATGCCAAGCTGTGGTTTCTAAAGCGAGCAAAATCCTCTCTTGTATTAAAAGAGGTATAGACTCCAGAGAGAGAGATATCATTTCCCCTGTACAAATCATTAGTAACACCTCATCTGGAATATGCAAGTTTTGGGCACCAATCACAAAAAGAACATTGGGGAACTATGAGAAGGGCAACCAAACTTGGAAGAGCAGCTTTTGAATTTATTATCTCTTGAGAAGAGGAGATTACACCAATTCACAAAAAGAACATTGGGGAATTCACTGGAGAAAGTACAGAGAAGGGCAACCAAACTGCAATTTATTAATCTCGTGCAGACATAGTGATAAATACTCAGTGGGTTCATATAGTGAACTCGGGTGTAGAGCTATTCACCTTGAGGTCATCACAGAGACAAGGGGGCACTTTTACATCTGGAGGAAAAGAAATGATACGAGTGGAATAGACTCCCTCAAGAGTTGCTTTGGCCAGCTCAGCTATGAGGATTCTTTCTTAAGAGGATAAAACATTTTCCCTCTCGGGGGATCAAGAGCAAATTGTATCATGCTTTGCTGGGGTTTTTTGCCTTCCTCTGGATCAACTGTTGGTATAGGATTATAACTTTTTTTTTTTTTTAATGGTTGAACTGGATGGACTTTTGTCTTTTTACAGCCAGACTAACTATGTAACTATGTACTCAGAGAGTAAATATAAATTAGTACATACCTTTTTCTCATCAGCAGTTAGAGCAGTCTTGTGACTTCTGTCAGTGTCCAGCAGAGCACTGGTTAAAGCTTGTAGGAGTTTTCATTCTGCTCTAGGAGGATGCACAACCCCTGACCTCTGTCTGGACAGTGCTGATTGGCCCTGTGTTGATCACATACACTCTCCCAAGAGAAACTAAAACCTCTCCAGCAATATACACCAAACTGAGCATGTGCAGAGTGACTCTACATGATATATCTTATCAGAAGATAAGAGGGGGACACTGGAAGAAGGGGAGGATCAGAGAAGTCAGGATCAAACAGCATTTTTACACAATGCTTACATTTGCTTACTCAGGCCAGTGATGAAAACCTATTCTTTAGACTGGCATTTGGTAGCTAAATGGTTTGGTTTACTTTTTTCACACTTTCTCTGTGATGTGGCTGAAGTCCATCCCTTTTATCTTTTTTATGTTTTTTTTTTCTTCTGATCCTTTAAAATGTTAAGAGAAATAACACATGGCACAAGTAAATTATAAAGAGACTGTAGGCAACACAAATGTGGAATAATTGGTTTGTAAATTGGCTATAATAGATCTGCCAACCTCTGGCAGTCTAATGTAATGTGTCTTCAGTCTATGACTGGTCACCTAAAGCATGTTCCAAACTTTCCAACATAGTATGTAAAAAAAAAAAAAAAAAAAACTTGTGAAAATATATTTTTTTTAATTAAAAAAATTTACAACTTCAAAAAACTTGCCATGACTCTTACTAAATACCTTGGACTGTCTAATTTGCAAAAAGGGGTAATTTGGGGGTTATCTGTACTGTTCTGACATTTTTGGGCCTCAAGAAATTAGATTGGCCGTCAGTACTTCAGGACTGATCAATTTTCAGATATATCCCATAGTTTGTGAACTCTATAACTTTCCCGCATCCTAAATAATAAATACTGATTTGGCTTATTTTCACCAAAGACATGTAGCAGAATACATCTTGTCCTAAATTTATGAAGAACAATTAGTTATTTGCAAAATTTTAAAACAGAAACTGGGAAAAATGTGTTTTTTTCCTCAAAATGTTTGGTCTTTTTTTGTTAATTTAGCAAGCAATAAAAACCCCAGTGGTGATTAAATACCACCAAAAGAAAACTAGTTGTGTGAACAAAATGATAAAAATTTAGTTTGGGTACAGCATTGTATGACCACGCAATTGTCTTTCAAAGTGTAAGAGTGCTGAAAGCTGAAAATTGGCCTGGGCAGGAAGGGGGTAAAAGTGCCCGGTACTGAAGTATTTAATATTTCTTGTATTATATCATCAGTTACCTATATTGTGTGCATCGGATGCAAAAGGTTGGAGGAGGATTGAGGATTACAGCAGATGTGCATTAACAGCTCTGTGGATAGTAAGACGATTGGAGTCAATTCACGAAGAGTTAAATAACACTGTAAACAATGCGGTAAAAAAAACGCATTCAGGAACAATTCTGTAAACGTTCAATTCACTAAGAATTGTGCGGCAAATAACTACTGCAGTAAGGTTTCAATAATGTTCATTTCTGGTGGGCAGAGCCAGGATACCCTGAATCACCTAATAAAAAATCATGGTTTATGTTACATTTTGAAATACAATAGTAAACAACAAAAAAAGCCCACAATAATTACACAATCATTTATATACTGTATATGTATATATGTATGCATGTTTGTGTATATATATATATATATATATATATATTTTTTTTTGAAGGGGGATTCTGAATAGGGGCCTTTAGCCCATGGACATAACAGAAGAGTCACAGGTACAAGCATTGCAGAGGTGGGAGAAGTTTGAAGACAGTGTGGAAATGACACACATGGCATGGAGATTACAGGTAAATATATAATAAAAAAAAACATGCATTCATTTGGGTTGGTACATATATTTATATTTCTATGATATATATATATATATATATATATATATATATATATATACAGTGGGGCAAAAAAGTATTTAGTCAGCCACCAATTGTGCAAGTTCTCCCACTTAAAAAGATGAGAGAGGCCTGTAATTGGCATCATAAGTAGACCTCAACTATGAGAGACAAAATGAGAAAACAAATCCAGACAATCACATTGGCTGATTTGGAAAAAATGTTATTTGCAAATTATGGTGGAAAATAAGTATTTGGTCAATATCAAAAGTTCATCCCAATACTTTGTTATATATCCTTTGTTGGCAATGACAGAGGTCAAATGTTTCCTGTAAGTCTCCACAAGGTTGGCACACACTGTTGCTGGTATGTTGGCCATTCCTCCATGCAGATCTCCTCTAGAGCAGTGATGTTTTGGGGCTGTCGCTGGGCAACACGGACTTTCTACTCCCTCCAAAGGTTTTCTATGGGGTTGAGATCTGGAGACTGGCTAGGCCACTCCAGGACCTTGAAATGCTTCTTACGAAGCCACTCCTTCGTTGCCCGGGCAGTATGTTTGGGATCATTGTCATGTTGGAAGACCCAGCCACGTTTCATCTTCAATGCCCTTGCTGATGGAAGGAGGTTTGCACTCAAAATATCACGATACATGGCCCCATTCATTCTGTCCTGTACATGGATCAGTCGTCCTGGTCCCTTTGCGGAGAAACAGCCCCAAAGCATGATGTTGCCACCCCCATGCTTCACAGTAGGTATGGTGTTCTTTGGATGCAACTGAGCATTCTCTCTCCTCCAAACACGCCGAGTTGTGTTTCTACCAAACAGTTCTATTTTGGTTTCATCTGACCATATGACATTCTCCCAATCCTCTTCTGGATCATCCAAATGCTCTCTAGCAAAGTTCAGACGGGCCCGGACATGTACTGGCTTAAGCAGGGGGACACGTCTGGCACTGCAGGATTTGAGTCTCTGGCGCTGTAGTGTGTTACTGATGGTAGCCTTTGTTACGTTGGTCCCAGCTCTCTGCAGGTCATTCACTAGGTGCCCCGTGTGGTCCTGGGATTTTTGCTCACCGTTCTTGTCATCATTTGACCCCACGGGGTGAGATCTTGCGTGGAGCCCCAGATCAAGGGAGATTATCAGTGGTCTTGTATGTTTTACATTTTCTAATTATTGCTCCCACAGTTGATTTGTTCACACCAAGCTGCTTGCCTATTGCAGATTCAGTCTTCCCAGCCTGGTGCAGGTCTACAATTTTGTTTCTGGTGTCCTTTGACAGCTCTTTGGTCTTCACTATAGTGGAGTTTGGAGTGTGACTGTTTGAGGTTGTAGACAGGTGTCTTTTATACTGATAACAAGTTCATACAGGTGCCCATTGATACAGGTAATGAGTGCAAGACAGAGGAGCCTCTTAAAGAAGAAGGTACAGGTCTGTGAAAGCCAGAAATCTTGCTTGTTTGTAGGTGACCAAATACTTATTTTCCACCATAATTTGCAAATAAATTCTTTCCAAATCAGTCAATGTGATTGTCTGGATTTTTTTTCTGATTTTGTCTCTCATAGTTGAGGTCTACCTATGATGCCAATTACAGGCCTCTCTCATCTTTTTAAGTGGGAGAACTTGCACAATTGGTGGCTGACTAAATACTTTTTTGCCCCACTGTATATATAAGGATTTAATGCTAAATAAATCCTCATAAATATAAAATATTGAGGTATAAATCCTCAATAGAGTTGAGACTGCCATAGTATGCCATAGTATATGGGTGTCATGTATAGATCCAGGGAAACCAATCACCACATGACAGATCAACAGATGGGCATCACACACCACCTGAAAGTTCATAGAATGATACCCCTTTCTATTCTGGTAGATGTGCTCCTTGTTACTGGGTGGGAATAGGGGGAAATGTGTAGAAATAATTGTGCCCATTACATTTAGGATCGATGCCATGTTGTAGAATCCTCCTTTAATTTGTCCGCACACCTGCATGATGATAGGTTGGTGTAATGTGACGGAAGCCCTGTAGCACTCCTCCAAGGATTCTTGAAAAGGATGCCTGCCACATTCCGACCACGTCACTGCCCATCTGGTAGGATGCCTTTCTGAGAAAATGCAGCTTGGCTAGCTATTTGGTTAAGCCAGGTATTGCATGACTACGCTGGGTGGTTGTCAGGAAACTAGTGCAGCTAATGCTGATTCTTTTGAAGCTCATGTGAATTCCTCTTCAGCTAATGCTAATTCCTGTGCGCTGATGCTAATTCCTGTGCAACTCATGTTTGCTCACGTGTGCCAGCACACAGACAAGCCCAGGCTAATATCCAGCATGCACGTATTCCCGCATTGGCACCAAGCTGCCTATTTAAAGGAGGAGACTCAGCTGTGTACTAATCGCTGGATGTTCTTCAGCTTCCTGTGACCCATGTTCCTGTTCGTACTGATTGATCATCTGTTGCTGACCTGGCTTGCTCCTGATTTTGCTCTGTGGATTCTGGATTCTGACCTCAGCCTGCCTTAGACTATTCTCTGCCTGATCTATTGGTGCTGACCTCGGCTTGCCTTAGACTATTCTCTGCCTGATCTCCTGGTGCTGACCTCGGCTTGCCTTAGACTACTCTCTGCCATATCTGGTGCTGACCTCGGCTTGCCTTAGACTATTCTCTGCCTGATCTCCTGGTGCTGACCTTGGCTTGCCTTAGACTACTCTCTGCCAGATCTGGTGCTGACCTCGGTTTGACTTAGACTACTCTCTGCCTGATCTCCTGGTGATGACCCCAACTTCCTTCTGACTATTCTCTGCCTCATCTCCTGGTGCTTACCTCGGCTTACCGCTGACTACTCTCTGCCTGATCTCCTGGTGCTGACCTCGGCTTACCTCTGACTACTCTCTGCCTGATCTCCTGGTGATGACCTCAACTTCCTTCTGACTATTCTCTGCCTTATCTCCTGGTGCTTACCTCGGCTTACCGCTGACTACTCTCTGCCTGATCTCCTGGTGCTGACCTCAGCTTACCTCTGACTACTCTCTGCCTGATCTCCTGGTGCTGACCTCGGCTAACTTCTGACTATTCTCTGCCTGATCTTCGGTGCTGACCTCGGCTTACCTCTGACTATTCTCTGCCTGATCTCCTGGTGCTGACCCCAGCTTGCTACTGGACATCGCTCTGCTTGCTAACCTGGTACTGACCCCAGCCTGCCTCTTGACCACACCGCTGTCTCAGTGTGTATGACCCTGGCTCAACTTGACTACATTCTTGACCGTGGCAATCACCTGCTATCAAGCTATCAGCATCTGTGCTTCTTTGAGCCTTGTACCTCTGTCACCACATTCAGGGGTGGTCAGGCCAGAGCCGCAAGGGAAGCCCTCCCGTTAACTCGTCCTTCAACCAAGGACGTGACAGTGGTGGACCCTACACTACAGGCAGCCTGAAGTACAGTAGGAGAATGAGCTCTTTGG